GCGCAGGTATTTATAGCACGGCCCCGGACCTGTTCGAGGGATTTGGTCGGAGAATCTCACGTACACGGGTCGATTCTTTCTGCCCGAAGGTTGCTTAACCGCCAACGGAACCGCCATTTTGGTTCCTCTCCGCCGCGGACCCGTTGTTACCTTCGGGTCGCAGCTGTGACGCAACCGCTTGCGTAAAGACGCGTCGTTAGAAGCGTTCTCTAAACGGCTGGCCCACGGTCTCCACGGTCCCCGTCCAACCTCTGGCTCGCTGGAACGCGTTTCGCTTCGGGGCCCAGGCTTTCGCGAATGTCGCGGTTAACAGGCGACCAAGGACATCGAAAATTCTAACGATAGTTCAGCTACGTCTGTTCCATCAATTCGTACATTCCAACCTTCGTTGCCTATTTATTGCCAAAATCTATTTATCGACAACTAGTGGTCCTATATAGGGTGCACCACCTGGGTTATATCTAAGACCACGTACAGAGTCATAGAGACTTGGACTTACCGAGATATGGAAGTGAAAGATTCGATGTACAGAGACTTCTTTTCTAGATCTACAATTTGCGTAGACGGATGTTTATGAGGTGAGACCGATGGGACCAAAAACTTCATGGTTGGTTGCGATCCACGACTGATGCTCTCCGCGTCGTTGCTAGCTCGGTGATCGGGAACCCCGGTTAGAACGAAGGAACGGAAAAGGCTTTCCTCGTGACTGGCCCCATAGCCGCGCACGTGCTGGCAAAAAGCTGCGTGTCCTCGCGGCTGGTTTCCTGGTTTCCGCTCGAATGGCTCCGCCGGCCGACACGATGTCCTCGTGCTCCATTCGCGAAACGCAGTCGGTGTCAAAGTCAAGAGAACGCGAACGCTCGCCGGCCCTGATAATGGCGAAGAGAAATTACCAACGCGACCGCGGCCAGACGCCTCTGCCCGGCCTAGCCGACCCAACGATCCCACATCGTCCTTGAGCAACGCTCCTCCTGTCCGACACGATCGTCGAATAGTGGAAAGTAGCTCGACGTAGGTAGCCTGCTCGTAATCGCTGTCGCGGTATCTTACCTTCCGAGTTACGGGACCATCTGCTTGGCTGACGAGTCGGGAACGTGGAAGCAATAACCATAAAACGGCGAACATTGTATCAGATATCGGCGAAGGTGACGAACGTGAGCAAATTTGTTTCAGAGTACAAGCGTTCAGGTCTGAGGTCTGAGCTCAAAAGGCGAATTATTTTAAATGGAAGGTAGCTCTTGTGTCTTCCTTCGATTGCAATTGTTAATCTTCGAGTGTCCTGGATTTTCTCACGTTTGGGACGTGTTTAGGTCTTTTCGGTGATCGAGTCTAAGATTTCGAAGTCCAAGATCTAGGATTTTAGCTCAAAAGTGGGATCATCTTAACTAGGAGGCACTCCAAGTGTCATCCTTCGATTGCACTCGTCAAAGTTTTCGAGTGTCTTGGATTTTCTCACGCTTTTGAGACGTATTCGGGTCGTTTCGATGATCGAGTCTAAGATTTGGAGTCCAGACTTTAAGCTCTATGCTCAAAAGTCGAATTATCCTAAACGAGAGATAGTCCACGTGCCGTCCTTTCATCACAATCGTCAGTCTTCGAGTGTCCTGGATTTTCTCACGTTTGGGACGTGTTTAGGTCTTTTCGATGATCGAGTCTAAGATTTCGAAGTCCAAGATCTAAGATTTTAGCTCAAAAGTGGGATCATCTTAACTAGGAGGTACTCCAAGTGTCATCCTTCGATTGCACTCGTCAAAGTTTTCGAGTGTATCTTAACTAGGAGGCATTCCACGTGTCATCCTTCGATTGCACTCGTCAAAGTTTTCGAGTGTCCTGGATTTCCTCACGCTTTTGAGACGTATTCGGGTCGTTTCGATGATCGAGTCTAAGATTTTGGAGTCCAGACTTTAAGCTCTATGCTCAAAAGTCGAATTATCCTAAATGAGAGATAGACCACGTGCCTTCCTTTCATCACAATCGTCAATCTTCGAGTGTCCTGGATTTTCTCACGTTTTGGGATATGGTCAGATCGTTTCAACTGTCAATTCTAAAGTTATGGAGTGCAAGCTCTAAGGTCCGAGGTCAAAAATCAAATTATCTTAAATGAGAGATAGCCCATATATCAGCCTTCGATTGCAATCGTCAGTCTTCGAGGTTCCTGGATTTTCTCACGTTTTGTGATGTGGTCAGGTCGTTCCAACTGTCTAGAGTCTAAGTTACGAGTCTAATTATAATCTATATCAGCGTAAGGTCTTCGAATCGAATTACGGCGCAACTGGGCACGGAAGATGGATCCCGAAGATAGCCCACGTGTGTTCGTTCGATTGCACCAGAAGTCTTGGAGTATCTGAAATTTTTTCACGTTTCGGGACGTGTCCGGATAGTTTAGGTTAGGTTGCTGGGATCGGCCGAGCGGTTCGCTGAGGATCGATCGGTAATCAGCGATGACGGGAGCAACAGCGGTTGTTGGAATGAGTTTTAATGACGGCTCGGGTTAGATAGCGCGAAACAGCGTCGCTGGTCGAGGACGAATTACGAGGCGGTGCGTGAAGGACGCGCGAGGAAGGAGAGTATAGCATACGGTACCTACGAACCCCCTCAAGGTTGCTCGTAAATTCAGCCATCCTGGCTCCACGAGCAGAACCCATATTATAACCGTTCGCTCATTACGTATTCCAGACGCGTCGGGCATTGAAATTTCGTCGCCAGCCGAGCCGAACTAAATTTGCGAGTTTTAATCTTACTTGTCGACGCATGTCGATGTTTGATGCTTCGATGCTTCCAGACTATGAGAATCGCGTTGTTTTCTTAGAAGAAGCCGAGGTCTATTTTCTCACCTATTTAATTTTACACTTTACTCTCATACCGTGTGAGTATTGCAATTCCACCGAGCAGAGCTAAATTCGAGAATTTTGCGAATTCGAGCCTATTCGAAACTTGGCCTATTCTTTGATATTAGATATAACACCTCCATTTGGTGTTAGACTGTACCAGAATGTAAGGTATTAAATATTAGCTAAGATATAGTATATAGTAGTTTATAGTAATATACGGCAGTAATATCGTCTCTTGAAAGAAAGAGAAGAGAAAAATTTCTTATTTTTCTCTTTTTCTATCTTCTTATTAACCCTTCCGATACTATATCGCGAATACAGCGACACTGATTAGGTTAATTACGACGTAGAAGCTACTTCCCCGAAGAAGGAGTATGTCGACTAACTTTTGGTATGCAATGTAAAGAATCATACTTTTGAAATGTTTGATAGTAATGATATTATGGGAATTGTTTGAGCTTTTTGATATTCCTTGACGACTATAGTTGTTAACCCTTTGCACTCGAGAGGTGAATCTCGGTCACTGTTTGTTTTAATGCTACAACTGAAATAATGGACGATGATAATTATATTAAGAACATCGAAATAAAATTGTTTTATTCGTTCGTTTCTCACGCAAATGCGCGATTTTCTTTTTTTAATTTTAGCATAAAGAGTGAGCATATCAGTGAACTTATAAAAATCTAAGAAGAATTGCATTTTCACAACGAAGAATTCATTTCCAAAGGGTTCGTTCATAACGACTGTCCATTGTAAGATGACTATAATTATCATTAGTATTACGAGGATTAAAAACGCGACCCTGATTTGTCTCGAATCGTGACTCTAACCTCACTTATTGTCGGACCTCGTAGACCTTGGTAGCGTTACGAATATGGACGCGAGAGGTCATGTCACGCGTGATCAAATAACATCGTGCTTCTCGGAACACAATATTAATTCCCGATATTAATAAATAAGAAAGAAAATATTACGATTTTAAACCTAATTCGGCATAGAAATATAAAGTTTGAAAAACGGATTGCCATGCGTAGATCGCGAGAAAACGGACGATGATCGAGCGACGACCCCGGAATCCTTGCGCAGCAGCAGCCCGGCATCCTCTCCTCCGCCGCAGTGGCAATCGTCGATCACCCCGAGCAGCATAATAACCAGCACACCACCACGACGATTCATCTCCAGCATCCTCGGCGGCGACGTCCCCTACGGGAGCAGAGGCCACGTGCTGACCAGGGCGGAACGCAAGGAGTACAGCAGCCCGCCGATCGCGCCCTCATCCAGCGATGCCACTCAGTTTCTCGCGAAATCGGAGAAGCTGGTGCTACCGAGACCTAGCACCCCTCCAAAGACGCCACGGGTCGAACCGCCCACCAGGGTTTCGGTCATTCAGAGGGTTCCCTCGCAAACACAATCCACATCCAGGAGGGAGGATAAGGTCGAGGTGCCGCAGACTCAGGAACCGGAACAGGTAACCCTAACCATTACTTCATCGCCGCTTTTTATTCCTCTATCGATCCGCAAGTCCACGTGTGCCTTTTTATTTCTTCGAGCTTCTTAAGTCCCTAATCCTCCTTGTGTTTGGGTCAACTCGTGGCATCTCATCTCGCTAACTTCGCGTAGAGAAACATTGCTAGACCTATCACCTAAGCTGTTTTAGATGAAGACATCGATGACTAATTTAGCGAATTGGATGCACTCGAAAGATATACAAAAATTGGATTTAGACCCGAGTAATCGGAATACTGACAACGTGAATTATACGTCTGGGAGGGTTAATTCTGTCGGAATGTTTAGCGTGAAGCTTCCCAAATCGGTTTCTCTCGACACTTCTCGCGAAAGTTTAAAATTTCACGAATCCCTCGCACCTAGTAATTGTCCCTAGACAAATAACGCCATTTTGTTGATACAATAGCCCTTAGTAGGCATCGGTAAAATGACATTAGAAAACGGCAAGCGTGTCTACCATCGGAATGAACGAATAATCGGAATAACGCGTGGTTCTCCTTGTCTCTCGAGCATACCCGACACTCGCCTAGCGGGAAGCATTTTCCTTCTCACGAATACGTATGCAAATGGGGGGTACCGGTGAAGCGATCCTCGGAGGTGCGCGCAGCTGACATTGCTCGTTATCGTTGCAGGAACAGCCGATCGATTACGCCGTGCCGAAGAGAAAGGAAGAGGACGAGGAGCGAGGCCGCGAAGGCGCAAAAGTGTCACGCGCGATCGGCAACTCGATCGCCAGGCCTCTTCTGGCCATGAGACTGTCCGGTCCCCAGGTGGTCCACGCGGCCGCTGGGCACGGGAGATCGTCGAATTCCGGTAGCAACGGTAGTTCCGGTTCCAGCAGCGGGTCCAACAACTCAGGTAGTTCCTCCTCCTCGAATTCAAGCGGAAGTGGCAGCTACTGCGGAGGTGGAGCGGTGACAGGTGGCAGCGGCGGTGGTGGCGCCGTGGGCGGAGGCGCTGGTGGTGGCATGAATCCCGGAGGAAACGGCGGTCGCGGGAACTACGGGCCAAGTTCACCGCCCACTGGTTCCCTGCCTCCCTTCTACGAGTCTCTGAAAGGCGGCAATAATCTGGCAAATTTCGCGAACCAGTACAACAGCACACAAGGTAGAGTAGTGGATGGGACCTATCGTTCAGTTGAGTCGATCGTGTTCTCGATATACTGATAAAGCGATCGTTTCAGGAAACGGATACCTGACACCGTCACCGACGGTTGGGATGGAATGCGACACCGGGCAGCAGGACGTGAACTCGCAGCATTCTCAGTACAACGCTCAGGAAGGCAAGCAGTACTCGCTTCTGCAGAACGTATGCGCGTCTTACGGTTTAACACTGAAGGAGGAAGAAGACCTGTCTCCGTACAAGATTCAAGCGAACGACCTGCTGTCCGGACAGTACGGTGCCTACGACATGACCGACACGGGGATGATGGTGGACATGGTAACCGGAGCCGTGGTGGATCCACTACAATTCACCGCTACTCTTACCTTCAGCTCGCCCTCGGACCACACCGCCCTCTTGGAAAGTCTGAGCGACGCCGCGGACCTATTTCTGCCGAGGCTACCCGCCGAGGATGGCAGCAACGATCTGCTGGAAGAATCGTTGCACTCGCCAGCCTCGGCTGGCAGCGGGATCGGCCAGGACGGTGGGCAAATGACCACTCCCGTGGAGCCTAGCGTCGATCCTTTCCCGGAGCATAGCATGGCCCTGACCAGAGGCTTCGATACGTCGAGGTAAATGCCAACGGGTGATTCGTTCCTCGGAATCGAGCTGCTTTCGATGTTCGCGCGAGATACACGCCTCTCTCACCTTTGCGAATGTCGCGTGTTCTCTGGAGAACGATCCGAGATCGATCAACTGCTCTTTCAGCGAGGAGCCAACGAATTTGGAACGTTTCGTCGTTCGTCGAATTCGTTTTGGCAACGGGATGTCCTCGGGGATCGAACGTTGAGCGAACGCGAAAGTTGCTCGCCGACCGTAGCAAAATAATACGAATAAACAACCATCTCTGTTCAGGCACTACACGGCAGCTCCTCAACATTTCAGCACCTCGAAACTAGGGCTGACTTACACCACGGGCGAGTCGAGTTATCAGTCCATTTCCAAGGAACGTCCCGAGCTGGCGTTACACATTAATCAGAATCATCAGCACCAGTCGGAACCGCAGCTGCAGCAGCTGCAGATCCAGGTCCAGTTGCAGCAGCAGCAGCAACAGCAGCAGCAACAGCAGCAACAGCAGCAGCAGCAGCAAACCACAGCCACCTCGCCTCATCAGCAACAGCATCAAGGGCTACTGAGTCCTGGATTAAGCTTCACCGGTAGTGGTTAGTGTTTATACCGCTTCCTTCCGTTTCATCCTTCATGAAACAACCTGTATAAACCACTGTACTCTAGAAACTACTTAAGGAATATCGCAAATCTAGGCGTGACTTTAAACTTACGCTCGCGTGGATTTCTAGGCCTGGAACTGGACTCTGGTAGCAGCGTGGGCGGAAGTTTGCCGAGTCCCGGAGCAGCTAGCTGTTCGTTGGATGCTGCCTCCACGTCCACGTCGCCGTCCTGTGCTCTCATGGAACACGCACCCAGCCCAACAGCCACCGTGTCCTCGGCATCCGTGAATACCGTGCAACCAACTGGCCCAGTAGGAGAACCACCACTGACTCAACGGGTCGGTGTACTACAGCAAAGGGTAAGCACCCGAAATTGATCCAGGCAAAAGCATATTCTCTGTTTACGAAGTCGAAACCGGCTAACAGAATCTGTATGGCACTGTTGCTCGATCCGAAAGCTCGTCTTTCCTCTCTATCCTCTGTCTGTTCTCATACAACAGTCTTGCCCTCTAAAGGTGATACACATAGTTCCTGAGGACTGAATAACCCTGAAATTTTGACGAATTTTATTCTAAATTTCTTGTTCTACATTTCGATATTCCAAAATGCTTGAACATTGCCATATAGACTAACGGGAATTGATCTCGGATGACGATAGTTCGTAGAATCGCTAGCGTTGTTCCATTCAACCGCATCAAAATCCACGTGATCGCACAATTATGCAATGCCAATCAAATTGAGTGCTTCATCCACTGTCACCGATTTAACCGTTAAAAGCGGATTCATGGTCGGATAAAATTAATCGTCCTTTCTTCGTAGCTGGGACTGCCTGGTGACTGCCAGCTAGAGTTCGTGAACGGCGGCCACGGAATTAAAAATCCTCTGGCGATCGAGGGTCAGAGACAGGCTGCGGCTAATCGCGAGGAAGAGAGGGCAGCCCGACCTCCGCCAGGCAAGGTAAACGTCATTCTTTGACGCTTTTCCTCACCATATAACGCATATTTTATGAAGCTGTCGCGGGATTAGCATTCCTCCAGCCATAGATTTAGCGCTTTACACACCTAGATTCTAGTTCCCGATTACTGTTCCACTTTCCCGTTGTTACATATTTTATGCAGTCCTGCGCTAGCTCGGACGTTCCAGAATATCTACGACATACGGAGATCGTTGGTAATTCGTGGCTTTTTCAGGACGACGATCCAAATCGCTTCACGTGCCGAGTGTGCAGCAAGAACTTCAGCCTGCAGCGACTACTCAACCGTCACATGAAATGTCACAGTGACGTGAAACGCTATTTATGCACGTTCTGTGGCAAAGGCTTCAACGACACCTTCGACCTGAAGAGGCACACCAGGACACACACCGGGGTTCGCCCTTACAAGTGCAATCTCTGCGAGAAAAGCTTCACCCAGAGGTGCTCTCTGGAGAGTCACTGTCTTAAGGTTCACGGTGTTCAGCATCAGTACGCGTACAAGGAACGTCGTACTAAGGTGAGAGACTCGATTGGTTCATTGGTAATTCATCGGTAACTTCAACTACACCCGGTATCACGCATACGCGAGTGGCTATGGAGGTTTATCGCGTTTCCGGAGTTTGTACCCGCAGTTATCGAAGAGGGTGACTAGAAGCGAGCATGGAAACGGAAAAATATTTTGGGTGCCCTGACTAATTGTTTGCCATCGATTAATCTCTCTCCTGATAATCGGAAACAACACCGACGAATATTTTTTCGTTAAACGATGGTCGAAGGCGTTTGCTAAAACCGTGATAGATTTACGAGTAGAAGACCATTGTGCGTATGTAGGATGAAAGTTAACTGGTGCTTTTATTTCTGTTCGTTCCATTCAGGTATACGTATGCGAAGAATGTGGTCACACGACGCAGGAGCCGGAGGTTCATTACCTTCACCTGAAAGATAAGCACCCATACAGCCCGGCATTGTTGAAGTTCTATGATAAGCGACATTTCAAGTTCACCAACAGCAATTTTGCCAACATGCTGCTCCAGGTGCGCACGTAGACTCCGACTAGAGTACAGTATGACCGTGTAAGATGCCGTCACATAAGTAAGAAAAAAAAAAAAAAAAAAAAAACGTAACGAGAACGTGTCGATGATCGCCAATTGCAAACATGTGTTTCTTCGTTCCTCGGGAACGGAGAACGGAGACACAAAAAGAGTAGAGCAACGTTCGAAATTGCGATGCTAGAACAATGGGGGGAGGGGGGAGGGCAGAAGGTACGAACGAAGGAACACAAAACGGATCGAGACAAAGAATGCTATAGTTTCATAAGAAATAGAGCAAAAAAGTAAATAAATAAGTATAAAAAATGAGGTGTAGCGTGCGAAGAGAAACGTGCAGATATTCGAACAAAAAGAATAGCAGATGCAAGAACACGAAATTGTTCTTGGTCATGTAACTCTTCAGGGTGGCCTGTTGCAACGGGACTCGCGGAATACGGACAGCTGCATAAAGTCAGCCTCGAAAAGCCTCGAAGCGCCTCTTCAACGCGCCACGACATTGTTGCATCTGGGTCGAGCTTCCAGCTTCTGATGCCGAATTCGAAGACCAAGACTATGAGGTGGTGGAAGAGGAAAGAAGAATGAAGAAGGGAAACGAGAAGAATAGCAGCGGAAGACTGGTTCCGATTTTAACCGCTCGACCGGAGCGCCATCGAACGCATCCCGAAGTAAACGTCGCGCGAAAAGTACCTGCAGGTGGCTCCCCTTTAGCGGTGATACACGACGGCGTCGAGGGCCAATGACGATCGGATTTACTAAGAAATTCCGTACGGAATTCGTGATTGTCCACGAGATTCGGGCTGATCCGTGAATCCCAGAACGTAGGCAAAGAAAAAGCACACTCGTATACACAGTATTGCGCTATCGAGTACGCGATCTTTTACGCATAAGTTTTCACCGATCGTAGGTTATAATATATGTACATGTATATGTATAGACTATGATTTCTAGGTTAGGAACAGAGACAAGTCAAAGTCGCGAAAAATTACACCCGAAGACTCGGATCGAACGTTTCAGGAATGACAATCATTTCTTCTCGTCGACGAGGTTTCCTTGCGCGAGATGGGATAGCGCGACTTTTCTTCGAACGATTTTTTCCTTTTAGCGATGCACGGCAAGTTACGTTGCTTTCCGACTTAGAGGGTGAAAAATTACGTAGAAATATTTGACATCTGTACGAGACGTGTCAGGTATTTCTCGAATTTTCGTTACACCGAGATAACGATACACCTTCGGTAAACATTATCGTGTCTCGAGGTAATTGTTCTTATTTCCAATCGTTGCGTTCCTCGTTTTGACTGATGCGTTCGGGGAAACACGTTGTAAAAAACGATTTTTTTTTTTCTTTTTTTTTTTTTGTTTAATTAGTAGACACCTATCGGTACGCACCTTGGGAAATCTGTGATATAATAAGACACGATTTTACTCACTCCTCCGCGCACAAGATTTCGCTTCTTGCACCTTGGTTCTTTCATGGGGTACGCACTGACATAGTGGAGTGAGATTACACGACACACATAAACACATTTTTTTCCACGGCGCTCTCTGTATTCAGAAAATATCGTTTCATTTATTTTCTGACCATGCTTTGAACGATAATCGTCCAGATTTTTCGATTAACTTCGATGTGACTCGCGCTTTTTTAGCATTAAAATTTATATTCGAAAATTGTTATTGAAAATGAAAGTAGAGCCGTGCATTTACGTACACACAGACACAATGGGGTTTCGTGCAATTCTACGGTGGTAGGGCATACGTTAATTTGAAAGTCACGTGGGTCAATATGCCTAACAGACCGCGTGCAAATCTGTTCGTGACTCGATTTATCGTTAAAGAAATGATTCGAGTCTTCGTCGGGGCAAAAACTCATGATTTCGCGAGGAAACAAAATCCCGGTTACGTAAGTAGAAATATTGGTGATCTGGTGGTATCAAACCGAATTTTAGTCCGCGAAACGGGTATATATTTTTTTAGGAACGAATCGGGTGCTGACTAAAGTACACGATCAATATGATATTCTTATGAATCGCACTCTTGTAAACAAATCAGTCGATAGTGAAAGTAAAACGAGACTCTATAGGGAATTATAGTAATATCGAAATTTACAAACCCTTGGAATCTTCGAGATCATTAGGGTGGACATGAAAGAATCTCGAAGTATTGGCAGCAGCGTCGGAATTCCGAAAATTTTTAGGTTAGTAGTACACTTGGAATTCGTAGGATGTTTGCGAATTAGGCATATCGTGCTAAATTTTCACACGGATAAACATAAATAAGAACTAGAAGCATACACAACGAACGAAACGTTTCAAAATGTACATTTCGAGACGTGGTGTACTTTTGTTGAATAATTCCAAGCCTCTAATAAACTCGTGTGCAGTGTAAATAGTATTCACATACAGGTAGTTGTTAGAATATCTTCGAGAACCTTTATGATTTTATATCAAACAGACGAATTCGACGAATATTGGGTGAATTGTATATAGTAAATGTTAATCGGGTTGCACGAGATGAAATAGAATTTTAATCTTCGATTATTCTGTACCTTTTTTTTCTGTATCGATAATGTATACTATGTCGCGTTCTTTTCCTTGACAATACTCGAGAACAATGGTACTTCTCGTCGCAATCTGTTTATCGTCACCAATACTATTTTATTGCTAATATTATTATATTATTTTTATTATTATCATTATTATTATTATTAATATTATATTATTATTATT